TGGAAATTTTGATCGTTTTCGAGTTATATGGTTTTCCACTTAGCCTTAATATAACTTGAAACTTATTTTCGAATTTCAATTAGTCTATCTATTAATCTTATTAAAAATATAATTTTACACCTAATCTAAATTAATAATATTCACATTTAACAAACTTTTTTTATATGTTTTACAAAAAGTATAAACAAACAAAACTACAAAAAAATTAGACAAAACTTCAAAAATGGTCCCTATAGTTTTCGAAAATATCAAGTTTAGTTCCCTAAGTTCAAAAAACCTCACAGATGGTCAATGTGGTTTCAAAACTTTTAACAAATTGTCCTTTTCGCTAACTCCGTTAGATTTTGGCTGTTAACTGAAGGACATTTTTGTCATTTCACCACCACATGGACCATTTATGAAGTTTTGCCTTATTTTTTTTAAAAAAAAAGAGTATAATTATTTAATCTCTGTCTGTCTCTCTCTCTCTCTCTCTCTCTCTCTCTCTCTCTCTCTCTCTTTCTCTCACTCTCTCAAAATAAGAAATTGAAAATTGGGGGACGAAAGGACCAAACAACCAATCCAAAATCATGTTCATCACAAATCTTTTAGAAATCCATAATCAGGTTCGTGTCTCATTTCAGAATATGGAGCTTTTATATCACATAGGTTGGGTTAATTTATCAGAAGAACTCGATAACCCAAGCTCTAATTCCTTATTCTGAAACCTGCAACTCAAAACCCCTTACATCGATACCAGGCTCCAGGGCTACTCGATCACCCACTTGTAAACTTTTCACATCGTGCCCGATTTCTTTGATGATTCCATCAAATTCATGTCCGATTAGGTTTTTTCACTATGAAATTTGCAACTCCCATGTTCTAAATAATCAAATCGTAATCAATGAACTTAATTAATTACACATCTGTCTGGGATATGAATTAGAAGGGAGGTTTACCGTTTACATACCTTGAAGTGATGAACATCACTCCCACAAATTCTGAGAGCCTTGATCTAATCCAAATCCAGTGAAAACATGTTGATTAGAGGCGAATTTCAGTTACACAATCTAATATCAAATATGCATAAGCAATTGATTAGGGCAGATTGTAGGACTAACCATTATCATTTGAATTTGATAATCGAAAGTCTTTATCAAACAAAATCACGATGGATAACTGGCAGGAGAGAAGATATGTTGACATGCGCGTGTTAGGGCTTGGTTATTCCTGAGCACTACTAGAACAACTGACAGCCCCAAAGTCAATATTTATTTTACCAGGAGCGATCGTAGCCAGATATCTGCAACATATGCTTTGTACCGGAGACAAGATTTGTCGAGAGCTTCATTGATTTTGTTGCAAAGTCTTGTGTCAATTTCTACTCGTGATGTTCACTCTTCCATTGATTTAGAATGTTAATTTTGAGGCGGAAAGGAGATATCAAGGAAGAGCCAAGATCTCGAAGAAAGGAAACGACAATGAAGGAGGAGGAGCAATCAGCATCCGGAGATGAGGTGACGGCGGGAGAAGGAAATGGCAGTGGTCGTATGGAAAGCATAGTGATGAAGAGAGAGAGAGAGAGAGACAGAGACAGAGAGAGGTGGGGCCTTTTAATATTAAATAACTATGTTTTTTTTTTAAATAAGTCAAAACTTCATAAATGGTCCCTGTGGTGGTGAAATGATTGAAATGCCCTTCACTTAACGGTCAAATGTTAACGGTGTTAGCGAAAATGATCATTTGTTAAAAGTTTTGAAACCACAGGGACCATCTATGAGGTTTTTTGAACTTAGGGACTAAACTTGATATTTTCGAAAACCACATTGACCATTTTTGAAGTTTTATCAAAAAATTAAAATGTGTTCAACCAACACACCAATGAACTAAAAGAAGTTATTCAAAAAAACATCATAAAAATATAAACGTGTGTATATATATATATATATATATATATATATATATATATATATATATATATATATGTGTGTGTGTGTGTGTGTATACAAAATTGCAAAAATAGTCCCTGTGGTATGCAAATTTTTGGGGTTTTAGTCCAAACCTCGAGTTTTTTGGATTCATGGTCCTTTTGGAGTGGTTTGTATGTGAAAATAGTCCCTCCTAAAATTGAAATGACTATAATACCCCTGGGGTATTTATTTTTCATTTTTCTTAAAATTTAATATTTATTTATTTATTTTAACAATTAAAAAAATAATAAAAGACATCTCTCTCTCTTTCTCTCTCTCTCTCTCTCTCTCTGAGGTTAAACATACAAGATGAGAGGCTGGTAAAAAACAATGATGATCTCTTTTTTGAGGATTTTTGTCAAACACCTTGTGTGCGAGATTCAACACTCTACTTCAACATGTAATTTATTAGTAGACACATCCCATTTCTGATATACAACCCAAACCAATGAAAAATTTTCCTTTGTTACCCAGACTTCTAAAGATTCCCTGAAAATTGGACACTAAAATTCTTGGTATCTAAAAATAGAGATAATTGTAGTTGGCCTTAATTTTAATTCGAGAATATCTAGTAAATTCGTGCTTGAATCGTCACCCAATACATGCCTTTATTCCTTAATCCATCCTCTCAAACAACTCTCATGCCAGTTTATTTCTGATCATCTCAGCTCATACCTGAAATTAAGATCACGTTACTGGTAAAAAGAAGATGATATGGGAGGATGTCGACAGAGACGGTGATCAGTAGGGAAAGGTGGGAGGCTAATTATCAAAGCACTATGAAAATTGATAGAAAAAACAAAAGAACTTCACGTGTAAAAGTTATCTTCTGGGTATAACAAAAGTGTAGATTTATATATTCTTGGACACTTTCAGAAGTTCACAAGGCTCCGACTCCGGTTTCACAATACTCTGGTGGGTTTGGTTCTTTTCGTGGTCCATCATCATCTCCCTCAACCACCTGCAACTTTGATTTTTGAATTAAGTTATGCTCAGTTCTTGAACACATAATAGGTGCATCTCGATTTATCCTTTTACCCTTGAATCAATCGGAGCAGATCACTAGAATACCTGTAGAGATCTCACCGGAGAGGTTGCCACTAGATGAAGATGAAGCAGCTGCTAGTAATGGAGGTGTGATGTTTTTTGTTGTCTTCTATCCAATCCTCTCGTCTTCCAGGTCCAAATAAACGACCCTCTCTGATGTCTAAACCCCGTTCTTCATCTTGCACTTAATCCCCTCTCATCGCCTACTTCTGAAATCACCCATCAAGAACCCTTTGTACTTTCATTCATCACCTGCAAATCACACAGATCCTCCGTCTTCCCCTTTAGTTGTATTAATAAAAAAACCGAATCAAGTACCAAAACATTTCTCTTTCCTTTTGATAAACCCCAACACACCACCAATTTCGTTACTTTCATATTATCATCCTTTTTGCTAATCTGATTTTTAATGGCTTTGAGTTATAGGTGAGCGGGGAGAAGAAGATATGTGGGTTTTTTTTTCTTAGCTGGAGAGAGAGAGAGAGAGAGAGAGAGAGAGATATGTGGGTCCAAATTAATTAATTGTTTTCTTTTTCATTTAAATTAAATAGAAAAAATCATAAAAAGTAAATCAGAAGGGTATTATAGTCATTTCAATTTACCGATGGACCAAATCCGCAATGAAACTATCTCAAAAGGACCACTAATCCAAAAAACTCGGGGTTTTGATTAAAACACCAAAAATTTGCATACTACAAGAACCATTTTTGCAATTTTGTCATATATATATATATATGTATATATATATATATATATATATATATATATATATATATATATATATATATATATATATATATATATATATATATATATATAAGAAAAAACAAATATATAAAAGTAAACGTAAAATGGGTTTTTTTAAGTGGATTAAAAATTTTCAGTGCAATTTCTTTAAATCATAATCAGATGCATCTTATCAAATTTTCAAATGTTTGACTGAATATGTAAATTTGACCAAACTATAGGAACCAAAACTATAATTTATTTATTTTATTATGTAAAAATTTCGGGTGTTATGGTTCATGTAGATTCCAATATTATAATTTATAGATACAAATTATAACAATCGGTTTTTCATTTTAAGATCAAGTTAAACTAACCTAAAATTTTGTTTTCGGTTTAATTTCGTCACTTTTGAATTTGATTCGTTTTGACTTTGAAATAAAAAGTTTGCCTAACCGACCTATAACACCCGTCACCGTATTCGCCAAAGCTAAGTTTTTGACTTATCAAATTGCAAAGTTTTAATGAGGAAACTTCCAAAAATACAAAAAGGCCCACAATCTCAAGTTCTCAACTAAAAACCACCACCACGGCACCACCCTCGATCCTTCCATTTCTTCCTCCATGGCTCCATATCCACCCGTTCATTATTTCCCTCTGTTGTATCATACTTCCAATTAGTCTTAATTACCTGATTGACACCCTTAACTTCTATCCTCATATTTCCTTCATTTCATAAACCATGACACGTGTACCTATGCAGATCACCTGAATGTTATATACGTGTATTATGTATGTATATGTATATGTATATTTATAAGTGTATATATATAGTCCTCAATTGTCCTCCAAGAAGAACAACAAGCTTTCTAAGTCTTATAGCTAGAGGAGAAAAAAAACCAAAAAGAAGAAAGAAAAAGAGGGTTTTGCAGCAGTATTTTGCTTCCTTTTCTTCAAGAAAACGGAAACCCAAAAGGAAATGATACTTGGAGAAATGGAAACATTTTCAGATGAGAAGAGGGTTTGTTCTTCAGGGAAAAAGAGAGCTCCATTGTCTGGTTGGCCATGGGAGAATATATCAAATTTCAAGGTATATATATATATATATATATATATATATATATATATATATATATATATATATATATATATATATATATATATATATATATATATATATATATATATATATATATATATATATATATAAATATTTCTTGATATTTTCTTTGATGATTCTTGAAAATATTCATGTGATTTGATGTTGGATTTTGCATATTTTTTGTGTCTGATATGACATTAAAATCTTGGTTGAAACAGTATATGTTGTTTGGACCACTTCTTGCTGAGTTAATTTATTCAAGAATCTATGAAAAGAAGCACAGTGAGTACAGTTGGTGTTTGCATATACTAATACTGTCTTCACTAAGAGGACTTGTGCACCAGCTGTGGAGTTCGCATAATAACATGCTTTTTCTTAATCGAAATCATCGATTATGTGAAAAAGCCATTGGTTTTGATCAAATTGACAAAGAATGGCATTGGTAATATATCTCATTTACCTTCATATATATATTTGATGATATTCGGGTGTTTGAAATGTGTTTTGAAAGTGATTATGGTGTTTCGATAACCCGATTATCTATCGATCTATAGATAAGATAATTTGTTTTGGATAATCAATTTATAAAGTTACTCGTATATCATTATTAAATCCTTCTGTATTCTGTTAGGTAAGGTAGTGTTTTTACTATGCTATAGGCTATAGGTAAGAACTGAAGTTGTCCATTCCATTGAAATAACAAAAAAATTAATTGTTAATTATGTCCATGACAATTTTTGAAGAAATGCGATTGTTTTCCATTTTATTAATTTTTGCGATGTTTTATTACTTTAGAATTTAGATAATGAATGACATGAAAATTTGCAATAAAAAATCCATATTTATATATTTATTTTTTAATGACACGATGTTTTTTAGTTATTATGATTTTAATTAACTAGAAAATATATTTTTCAAACCACTCAACACCATAAAAATGATTATACCCTTATTTTATGAATTACTTAACGTCATAAAAAATGATATATATGTCTATATCATGTCACATGATTATGCTCAAAACGTACAAACACCGGTTTATATTATTATCTTTACAAGTTTTTGATGAAACTGAGTGCATCTTTTTCTCTATGATTAACAGGGATAATTTCATCATACTTGAAGCATCTATAGCTTCAATACTCTCATTCATCAATCCATCAATTACCAATCTTCCTATTTGGAAAACCAATGGGATTATTTTTTGTGTAATTTTCCATATTGGCCTCTCAGAACCTCTATATTATTGGCTTCATAGATTATTACATTCACCATATTTCTTCCAACATTATCACTGGCTACACCATAGTTCTACAGTGAACCATCCATTTACAGGTGAACATAATTAAACCGACCCCACAAAATTCTTTTATTTATAAAACATCTCCCTCTAACTATCTAATCTTGCACTTTTAACCACTTTTGATGCAGCCGGCCATGCGACCTTTTTGGAGCATTTATTACTTTTTGTGATAATGGGAGTTCCAATTCTTGGGAGTACTTTGATAGGACATGGTTCAGTCATCATGTTCTATGGCTATGTCTTGGTGTTTGATTTCCTTAGATGTATGGGGCATAGTAACATTGAAATTGTTCCTCATCACATCTTCGAAACCGTGCCTATGCTTAAATATCTTATTTATACACCAACGTAAGTTTCGTACCCTAAGTATTTTTTTTGAAAGAGATTTTGCACCCTAAGTAATGCATACCAAATGCACTATAAGATTGTTATGTTTTGTTTTCTTGTTTTCTGTTCTGTTCTGTCATATTCTTAATTGTGTAACTAGCAGAGTTTTCACTATTTTGATTGGACAATTGGACAATTTCGATTAGATATATGGTCCGGATATTAGCATTTTTGAATTAATGTTAGAAAAACCAAATTATAATTTTGAATTTTGAGTTGGTTTTGTTTTATAAAATAAAAAACAAAGAGATCAAAAAACTCATTAATAATAATTATTATTTTATTTTTGTATATATCTCTAATCGTTTATTAATTTATCAAATGGTTTTTTTAAATAAAATAGAAAGTCTCATCCGATAAAAAAATACTTCGATATACAATTCTTCTAGAAAAAATTATATGAATAATATTTGATTGTAACATAGTTTTTCTTAGTAGTTGTTTATAAATTTTGAGTCAAAATTACATAATATTTTTATTCTTTTATAAAATTTGCTAATATTTTAGTTATATATTTTTTTTAAAAATATGCCGATTATTGAAAACCGTATACTAAAAACCGATTGAGCCGAGTTGTAGTTTGGTTGGTTTGGATTGGATTTGAATTTAGTTTTGATTATTTGGATCTATGTTTTAATCAACCAACCTTATTTTGGATTCTTTTGATATAATCATATCGAACCGATTAATCCAAACGAAAACCATATGCATAACCACCGGAGCCTTAAGAACTTAAGTATGATTATTGTTCATTTGCATGTTTCACTGTTTTTAGGTACCATTTTCTACATCACAGAGAGATGAAGACGAATTTTTGCCTCTTTATGCCTCTTTTTGATGTTTTCGGAAAGACCATGAATGAAATTTCTTGGGATCTTCATAGAGAAATAAGTTCAAACGAAGGTACATCGTTCTTTTAATCATTTAAGAAGTCTATGGCTGCTATATTTGACATCCAGCTAGTCTATATATGGGTTCATAAAAGAGGCCATAACTTGATGATATCTCAAAATTGCACTCTTTTAAAGTTTTAGTCAACATGGGCAGATCTATAGCTAAGGGAGGGTATGCACGTAATTTGTTAGTGTAGAAAAAAAAAAATGAAAAGCGGTATTTCATGAAACTTTTTGTAAATAACGCATATCCAAATTAAAACAAAAAAGGTTAATCACAAAAATACCAAAATATTTGTCTAATAACAAATTTACCAATTTTTTTATATAAAACACAAAATAACCATCGTAAAATACAAAAAATAAAAGCAATTGAACTCTTTTTTGGGAAATAACATTATTGTTTTATAATATATCATCATTTGAAAAAAAAAATGTTCTAATTTCAAGATTTTTTATTTTTTATAAAGGTACCTATATAAAAAATAATCCAAGACGTAAACGTAAATCCATTTCATGCTTTAATAGTTATTATGTGTTATATATAAAAAATATGATCATTTTGTATTTTGTACTGCCTATTAGTAGGGGTGACAAATCGGGTCATCGTGTCATATTTTTATCTAACACGAACACGGCATGACAAGATGTCGTTTTTAGTAACTAACACGAAAACGAACCAATTAAAAAATGATAAACACGACACGTCGTGACAAAGATAACATAAAATAAGAATTAGTTTATCTAATTAATATTTAATCATACATAACATGAAAACACATAAATGTTAAATCGTGTCAATTTTGTATCGAATTTTAAACACAAATACTACACGACACGATATCGTGTTTTTTAAACTTGACACGAACACGACACGAACGAGAATTCAAATTTCAGTTTCGTTCCTATTTCATTTTTTTTGTCGTATCCTCTCATAATTATCACCCCTACCTATTAGTATTTGTAATTCTTGTCATTAATCCCTAAACACCATTTTTTGTTTAGTCCTGGTCATAAAGAAGCCACGTCACCAACACCTTAAAGATCTTGAAATTTTATCAATTGTTTCTCAAAAGTCAGACTGTAGCCCTACCCAACCACTTATCCGTCCAATTATCTATATTGGGTCGTGCTCCCAGAAGTAGGGTCGGGTCAAGATCCATTCGGGTCACCAAACAATTAAGTCACATTAAACATCGTAATCAATACGCAAACTACGGTCCCTAAAAATACATTTGAAGGTCGAGAGTACTCAATCGAGATTACACATGAATTCAATTCCTTAATACATGTACGTTTCTCTTGTACATTCTGTAGGCAAGAAGGCAAAAGCACCAGAATTTGTGTTTCTTGCACATGTGGTTGATGTCATGTCGTCAATGCATGTTCCATTTGTTTTTAGATCATGCAGCTCATTGCCATACGCGACAAATATTATCTTCTTCCTGCATTGGCCAGTAGCTTTCATGGTGATGTTGATCATGTGGGCTAAATCAAAAACTTTCTTGCTCAGTTTCTGCCATCTTAGAGGAAGATTACTTCAGAGTTGGGTCGTGCCAAGATTTGGGTTCATGGTACTATGCAACTTCTTTCCATATACAGAGTACAAATTTATGACTGGCATAAACTAAGCCAGAATTGTGTTCGCGTTTTCATTGTTCTAGTAAAATATTGAACTAAAACTGGATTATATATGCTGATATATATTTGTTTTATGATTGCAGTATTTTTTACCCTCCGCAAAAGATGGCATAAATAGGCAAATAGAAGCAGCTATATTAAAGGCCGATAGGATTGGTGTCAAGGTCCTTAGCCTCGCTGCCTTGAACAAGGTTAGTTGAAACGTCTTTAATCATATAATGATACTGGAAGGAAGCATGCATGTTACATGTTTTCTATCAAATGATAAGAACAAAACACGTTTTTGAGAGGAAAATGATATATTTTTGTGTTATATATGTGTTGATTTTACTGGACAAGGACAAATATTGATATAGTAATTAGTAAATTTATAACGAGGCTTTCCACAAGTCCTAACCTTTTTATATATTTGCCCTTGTTATATGTCATTTTCTCAAATATTTTTAAACATTATTTACGAAGAAAACACTTTATCCAACATCTATTAATTAACAGAAAGAAATTAAAGTGTTTTGAGCGAATTTGTTGCGGTGTTACAGAATGAAGCTTTGAATGGAGGTGGGAAACTTTTTGTCATGAAACATCCGGATCTTAAAGTCCGAGTAGTCCATGGAAACACTTTGACAGCAGCTGTTATTCTGAACGAGATTCCTCAAGATGTTGAAGAGGTGTTCTTAACAGGAGCTACTTCTAAGCTTGGAAGGGCCATCGCCATTTACTTAGCTCGTCGTAGAGTTAGAGTCTTGGTACGTACATTTTTTTTTTTTTTTTTTTTTGTAAAAGCAAATCTTTTTTTTTTTGGTTATTTAATTTCATTCGTTGCGCAGATGCTTACTCAATCCACTGAAAGATTTATAAGCATTCGGAAAGAAATTCCACTGGATAACCGAAATCTTTTGATTCAAGTGACAAAGTATCAAGCAGCTAAACAGTGCAAGGTTAGATTGTGATATCTATATATATTTGTTAATAGTCGAGTAATAGGTAAAAAGGAAATTTTACTAATGTAATGTAATGATTTTCGTGAATTAAACTAGACTTGGATTCTGGGAAAATGGACCACTCCAAGTGAGCAAAATTGGGCACCACCAGGAACACATTTTCATCAGTTTGTGGTTCCACCTGTGTTTGAATTCCGAAGAGATTGCACGTATAGTAAGCTTGCAGCCATGAAGCTTCCTGTTGATGTTGAAGGCCTAGGCGTCTGCGAGGTAATGTAAAAAGCTAGACAAATCTAGCTTAATATATATATATATATATATATATATATATATATATATATATATATATATACACCACATCTGCTGCTACCCTTAATTGCTGAAAATAATGTTAATTTTTTAGTTTAAGATTGACATTTGTATTTTCTTTTCTGCACATTGTTTGAGCAGTATACGATGGAAAGAGGTGTGGTTCATGCTTGTCATGCGGGTGGGATCGTTCATCTTCTTGAAGGTTGGACACACCATGAAGTTGGTGCAATTGAAGTAGACCGGATTGATTTGGTTTGGGAAGCTGCTTTAAGACATGGTTTTAAGCCAGTATGAAGGTCTGCTAGAAAACCATCCATTTGTTTCGTACAACTCAATAATCGGTGATTCAAAACCTCAAAAAAGTGTGCATCTTTGACTATAGTCATATATATCGGTGAACAAGTGTTCATCGATGATTAATGCAATCTTGTAAAGGCTTTGACAAATTGAATCATGATCAACTGTGATTTACAATAAGATATTACCATTTGTAAAGCAAATTATATATGTTAAATATAGTTTTTATTTTATTTTTATTTTATTTTATTTTTTTTATGTTCTTGTATAGTTCGGGACCCATTGTAACCTTGTTACATAATATATAAAAAAAATATATATAACTTAGTAATAGAGCAGGTTTGGAGCGAATCAATCTTTATCCAAACCCTTTTAACAAATTTCAAAATCCAAACTCAAACCCAAACCCAAACTCACTCTCTAACTCATAGGGTTTTAAATAATTAAACTCATACATTTATCCGTTGAATCAATAGATGTCCAAACCCGTCCCGTAACTCATATGTTTTTTTGAATAATCAAACGTATTTGACTTTGTTATTAAAATAATTTTTCTTAAATAAAAGATGGATATTATATCTTAATGCTAAAAATAACATTTTTTAAATAAAATAAAAGTTGATTTAGAATAGGACATTATTTATTTACGGAATTTCGATTGGAAATAAAATCACTATCGCAATAACTTTTGATTGATTTATGACTCTCATCGTAGTGATATCGAATAGCAGTTTTAAACTTTCTTCCTCTTAATGAATGATTCTATTGATTTATAAATGAAATTGGTGATTTCTTGATGAATATAAATTGAATGAAATTATAATTCTTCATGGAAATCTAGAAGTCTAGAACTTGACTTCTCGAGTCCTAGGTAAAACCGGTTTTTTCTTTGGCCTTTGCCCTTTAGACGTTCGATTGGAATTAAAAATAAATATTAAATAGTATAAAATATAATTGTATAATTCTAAAATTTATAAGGAACGGGTTATAAACTGAGTGAGTCGGTGATGATCCATATATGACCTTTTTAATAAAAAGATTAGCAGGTATGGGTCATTAACTGGTAAACAGTAAAAAATTACGCTCCACACCCATATAATTTATATGGGTTTAGATTGGATCAGGGTCAAAATCCCATCTGTTGCCATATATATATATATATATATATATATATATATATATATATATATATATATATATATATATATATATATATATATATATATATAGGAAAAGTGAATATACCTAACAACCTTATATAAGCTTAGGTACCTAACCACATTATACTACATTGTTTTGCATTATATTTCCATTGCAATCGTCTAAGGTTCTTAAACTTCAACCCTTAACTTGATTTACTTCCAAGATTTTCAGACATTCACCATTATATTCTTCCTACACCATTTGATTTGTAACGCAGTATATGAAGCCCACCAGGGGGTCTCCGATAAAAAGACGTCATTTGAAGGAAGATAATGGTGAAAGTCCAAAGATTTTGGAAGCAATCAAGTTATGAGGTTGAATTTTAAGAACTTTGGGTGGTTACAATGCAAATATGATACAAAATTACGTAGTATGATGTGGTTAGGTACCTAAGCTTATATAAGGTTGTTAGGTATATTCACTTTACCCTATATATATATATATATATATATATATATATATATATATATATATATATATATATATATATATATATATATATATGCAATACCAAAGCTTAGGTTAAGGAGGCTTTTACCAAAATAGCATGGTATCAAGCTAGGGTTTTGACCCTACCACATGTTTCCCACACTTCTAGCATCCTACCCACCGGATTTATCTCGTTTCTTTTCTGGAATCACGTTCTCTCCGCTGCTTCAGTTATTCACTATGATCATTCTTCGACGCTCTCACTGCTCTGACTGGATCTTGTCGACCTGTCCTGTCTCTCTCACTAATCAGACACGTTTTTTCTTTTGGCTTGCTACTACTAACGATCAGCCTTATATTGGCTTGTTGCTCCTGTTTTGTCGTTGGTCTGCCTCCTCCCGGTTTGCTGTCTCCAACGTCTTTTGCTCACATTGCAAATGCTATGTTTTTTCTTGTTGCCTAACGTGTCACAACTGGCATTTTAGCCAGGAAATTTTGTGATCATGTAAACGCCATCTATGATAATATTTGTAACTCTAACTTGATATCATGCACAATGTTCATTCTATGACAACGAACTTAGTCAATATCCATAATTTAAGTTCAAAACTCTATGCAAAACATTTCAGAAAATCAATTGGGAGTTGAAAATCCTAAAAATCCTGGTTCAAGTTCTTTATGGACTAGGATTTTCTTATTTGGCCTAACAGACCAATAAGCATTCAATTCGACTATTTTGGATCTAGAAACCCTAATTGGGTTGTAAATGGACCCACATTCATAAAACTTAACATATTGGGCCATGTGGACCTAAAATGGTTCATATTATTCCTATTGGGCCAAGTTGGGCCATAACAACTCGAATCACCTTAATGGGCCATAAACTCGATTTCTTTTACTCAATTGGGCCGAAAACTACCTAAGGGACTTTCATTGGGCCGTGAACACTCCTAAAGGCCCAATGGGCCGAACAAAAATATTATTGAGTCTATGAAATTCGATCAAAGCCAAGGATTGAGCCTAAAAATTATTTTTCCTTCATTCCATTTGTCTATTCTTGGCCCATGTGTAAAAAAAAGATTAAGGGAGGATTAAGGAGAAGATGACAACTCAAGATTACCCACAATGCATCTAAGTATTACTCCCCATGCATCCATGCAAAAATATCATGTATCTAGGCAACTCCTATCATTCCCTTCATAAGTCAAACCCCTCATTCTTCTCCCCTCTCATCCCCTCAGTCCAAAGGAACACACACACACACACTTCCATTTTCAAACCCTCTCAAAAATCATCTCAAAAACTCTTCCTTCTCCCATTAAAATTTTGAGATTTGGGGTGCTTTCAAGAGGATCCTTCACCAATATCACCATCATTGGTAAGTTTTTGCTTAGATCCATGGTTTAGCTTCTTGATTTCTTCAAAAACCTCCTCCTAACTCATACCATTTCGTGAATCTTGCATCTTAGAGCCATCTAAGTTCTAAAGTTCTTCAAGAAGCTTGCTACGACCAAAATCTCTTCACAATAAGCAAAGTTGAGTTCATACCCCCTATTTTTGATTTTTACTTTGTCTTAGGGGAGAATACAAGTTGTTTTGTGTAGATCTCTGTGTATATGCATGACTATGTGTGTTTTCATGAATTATTTGGTGTTTATGTGTTGTTTACTTCATAAATCTAAAAATATGTTAAGAATATGAAGTTTATCACTTCGATCTTCATAAAAACCTTGAGAAAAATATGTGTTATCAAATAATACATGTAAACTTGTAGATCTGGGGTTTTACACACTTAAAATAGCAAAAACAAGTTTTGTGTACACACATGGATAACTTAAACTCAAAAATCAGCCTTTGACATAAAAGTTTTAGTCCAATATCGAACTTTTTTGACCACCTTAAAGGTAATATATTTCAAAACTGTTTTAAATGCAAAAAGTTCAGGTTTATACCTTTAAAATGACTACTATCACGTTTTCATACGATTTTTCTACAATTTTTGGCGAATTTTACAAAACTGCCTATTATATTTGAAATAATCTTGGACCAGCCTGTGAAGGTGAGAAACTTCACACTGGTTGGAGGCCATTAAAATTTATGAGAAAATTTGTGAACAAAGTAGAAAAAATTTCCAAACTTCCAGAGTTTATGGATTCAAATTTCGACTTAAGATGATTTTTGTACAAATTTTCCAACAACCAGGTCAGAAGAAAAAAAAACAGAAAAATGTGTATTTTCAAAAAAAATCAAGCCAAAAATGATATTCTTGACGAAAATGGGTTAAAAATGTTATTTTACCAATAACTAGCCATAAATACAAGTTTTGGAACGAAAATTGGACTAAAGTGTTATTTTTACTAAGATTGGGCCTTAATTGTAAATTTTTGGCTTATTAGGCCAAGAATATCATTTTTGCAAAAAGTGGGATTTTTATGTTATTTTGGTAAATAATTTGGCTAAACTAGCAATAAAATAATAAACGAGTTAATTTTTTCCATTTATATGTTTGATGGGTCCTAAATACTATTTATATGTTTATTGGGCCTCATTGACTCGTTAACATGTGCTACGGACCTTGGATACTATTTTCGTGCTATTTGGGTCTGTAAATACCTTACATGTAAAATGGGACTTAGTTGTACGTTTACATATATTTCGGGCCCATGTTATATAAATCTCGTTCCTATTGGGCCTTGAAATGACTTACATGTTTAGCGATACCTTAGTGGTTCACTTACATGGTTCATTGGGCCTGGAATGAGTTTTATACATTTTTCTTTGCGTAAATTCGATTAAGGATCTAGTGAGTTTTGTCGGTTGACACCTATTGAGTGTACGATCGTAGACCGTAGTTATAACCAGAGTCTCTTAGAGGGAGAGCGTGAGCTTGTGTATAGATCTATACGGGGGTGACGCATCACACCTGAGTTGTTTGCTACAGTTAGACTAGTCCAGTCTAGGTGACAAACCGTACATTAAACAAGTTGGCGTCTTCCAAACGTTAAAACAAGCAAAATTGTCATTATTAAGTATGGTTGTAACGACTCATTTAGAGGAATTAACGTTATAAATTTACGGAAGACCATTATTTTCTTTTCTCTTTGGATTACTCAGGAACATACATGTACTGGTACTCAACCTCGAGGGTTGGTACGGCAACATTATTTATTACAGACAACATCGGATTGTTTGGGGACATTCCCTTTTCTCTTTGGATTACTCAGGAACAAACATGTACTAGTACTCAACCTCAAGGTTTGGTACGACAACATTCTCTATTACAGACAACATCGGGTTGTCTGGGGACATTCTCTTCACGTTTTCTGCATTATCTTTATACATTCTAATAAACAATAACACACATGCATTAATACGAGATCTGACACAAACATACTAAACTGATTACAGAAAATATCGGATTTTCTGGGTTTTACGAATAATCCAAATCATTTTCACAAAGATGCTTATGAACTCACCAACATTTTTATGTTGACCTTTTCAAATTAACTTGTATTCTCAGGGAACCGTTGATGCAGGTTCGATGGATCGATTTAATGGACGTTTTGTTATATTTATGTTTTATCATACTTAGAACTTTTGGCATGTAATATTCAAACATAATACTTGATGTGAACGATGTTAGTTATAATATTGTAATGCATGGTGATGATGATGTTATGTTTCATATATATTCATTGTGATGATATTTCAATTCAAAGTCACACGAGCCCCCGGACATTTCTGCCGTCTGGTTCGGGGGTGTGATAGGTTGATATTAGAGCATTGTTTTGTTGTAAAAAAATATATGGTTTTGATTACAAAAAATTAATAGTGTATGAGAGGTCTACTTTTGAATATTTAGTATCCTTTTGGTCTCTATGGTTGTCATTCATTTGCAGTTTGATTCATACCCAACCTAAAATGACATATATGCCTCTAAAATAGTTATTTTTAACTTCTTTTAAATAATTTCTTATTCTTTTAATTAAAAAAACAAAAAAATCTCACCCCACCCCCTCTCCCCCTCTCTCTGTATATATATATATATGTGTGTGTGTGTGTGTGTATGTATGTGTGTGTGTGTTTGTGTGTGTGTGTGTGGACGCCATTCTCCCAACACCACCGCCACAGCTCTAACTTCACTGGCACCGACATTGTTGGAGTAACATTTCCTGATAGATTACCATCTTTGGAACCCTAACTTCACATATGTTTACCTCCATTTCAGCCCTTGCAAAACCTTATGCCATCAAATCTTCGAACCTGCACCACCAAACTTGTTTCAATCATAAAGCAACATCTACATCGAGACAACCCTCCATCACCACCACTTCTTATGGGCGAAGTGGCAAGATCTGGTGGCGGCTAAGCTTTGTGTACCCTAGCTTTGGAGAATACAAAGATGCCAACTATGGTGGTTTAAAAACCCTAGCTCCCATAAGAATCGTGGTGCTCCTCCTGCAATAACAACCTCTGAAAACTCTAACGCAAACGAGATTTGGGCTTTCTGATATATATATATATATATATATATATATATATATATATATATATATATATATATATATATATATATATATATATATATATATATATATATATATATAAAGGCGTCTGGTAGGATTTTTTGGAAGAAAGTCGATGAACGGTAGTGTGGTTGCCAGTGGTAAAGGTTCATCGGGTTAAGGAAGGAGATACGGAGGTGAGAGTGGCAAGGATGGAGGTGGTTTGCGGCGGATGGTGATAACAGGCGGAGAGGGATGTATGGGTATTCTTGAAAGTGTGTATGTGTTCTTGTGTTCAAGATAATGTATTTTTTGAAAAGAGATAGAAAGAAGAGGAGTTTATCGGTGGCAGGGGAGAGAGAGAGAGAGAGGGGGGGGGAGAGAGAGAGAGAGAGAGAGAGAGGTGAGAGCCTTTTTTAATGAGAAATTAAATATTCTTCTACTTTTTGTTCCTACATATCCTCTACACAATTAAATAGTAACATGTGTAATATTTAATGATATTTTAGTATACCAATATGACACATGTCATCATTTAAATGTGTAGGATGATTGGTAGGAACAAAAAGTGTAAGGATATTTAATTTTTTTTAATTAATCAAAAATTTTAACATAAATATAAAAAAATAAAAAATATATAAATGGTATAATACTCTTTTTAAATTGATTGATATAAAAAAATATCCAAAATTAAACCACTATGCATCAATAATTTTTTTTACCAAAACGATATATTTTTAACGCCATTTAGTCTATATTATGTATTGCCTAAACTTGGGCTTAGAGGTGTTCGTTTGGATGGATCGGTTTGATACGAACTAATTAAGTAAATCCAAATTGATTTCGGTTTTCAAAATATGGATCCAAATTGTCTAAACTAAATTTTAATCCGATCTGATCCAATCCAATTACAATTCGGTTGGATCGGTTTTTGTAATTCGGTTTTCAAAAGTCAGAACAATTTAAAACAACATATATATTATCCAAATTTTAACGAAGAAGCAAAAATAAATTGTTTAGTTGTGATTTAAAATTTATAAACAACTAGTAAGAAGGTATATTATAATTTAATATTTAATAGATAAAAAACTTTTGAGAGAAAATGCATATTAAATTGTTTATTATGTGAACCTTTTTGAATTTTTTAAAAAAAATAAATTATAAAGTTAATAAATAATTATAGATATATTAAAAATAAATAAATAATAAATTGTTGTTTGGTTTTTTTGGACTATTTGGTTTTTATTTCATAAATCAAACCAATACTAAATCCAAAATAATAATTCGGTTTTGATGAAATCCAATCCAAAAACCTAAATATCTGAACCAAATAGTGAAATCCAAATTGTGCAATTGGATAATTCGATTTTATCCAAATAATGGCTTGACTCGTAGAAAATAATAGGGTGATGATATGTATTTATCGAAAGAGAAGGGGCTTGTTTGTAATAACAAAAAGCTATTGGTAATCCAGACTCATAAACGAAAGAAGGTCGGAAAGAGAAAGTAGAGAGAGAAAGAGAAGAGAGAGAGAGTGTATCGGAGGAGAGCGCGATCAGAGAGACAACGAGGGCTCCTTCAAGCTCTGATTCAAAGCCACAGGTAGAAAAATCAGCGGCGAAACCTAAATGCGGCGGAGCAGTTTTTAGGCAGAAGAAAAACCCGATAAAATTGAGGCGAGAATTGAAAGCTATTGAAATCAGCTTGGGTTCCAACGATCAAAAGAGTTTGAAGATTGTGAAAGCCAGTACTTTTGGTTTCTGAATCTCAATTTTGGTAGAGATGCAAAAAGGTCAGGCTTACCAATTTCTGTTTCTTGTTAAAGTTCATTAGTAGCTTAAATCTCTCCAATCGCTGTCCTCTTGCTTCCCAATTGTGTATGAAAATACCAAATTTTCTCTTCGGAAGTCTGCGGAGTCAATCGTTTGATCAATTTGTTGCATTTTGAGTTCTATTCATAGTTTCAGAAAGGTTATTGGAATTGGGAGATTGCTAATATGTTGATTTGTGACTGTACTCGGAGTTCGAAGGAGGTATCTATTTTTTAAAATTAAGGAATTTCGTGTGATGTAGACGCGATTGAGGTTAGGGTTTATGTATTGGTGGATTGGAATTTGAATAATTTGGGAACTTCGTTTTGGAGGGAGAGTTAGTTAGAAACCGTAACTCATGATTTGCTTCTTTCCTCTCTACTGAAAACCTAATTAGGGTTTTCCATGATCTGTTTTGGCTATTCATTATGTGGGCTGTCGTTGAACAGATTGAATTTCTTCTGGAAAATGAGATTTTGTAGATGGACCAAAACCCTAATTTAGTTTCTTAAATTAGGGGCTTTAGTTTCTTGTGTTGAGAAATGCAACCACCACAGCAGCATTCATGGATCAATCTTACTGAATTGAAAAAACAGATAATCAGGAAGCTTGGACCAGAAAGATCCAAGCAATATTTTGATTACTTGAATAGATTCTTGAATTTAAAGTTAAGCAAAGATGAATTTGATAAACTTTGTGTAAGAACAGTTGGTAGAGAGGGTATTCCGCTTCATAATCAGTTAATTCGTTCGATTTTAAGAAACGCTTGTACAAAAGTCCCTCTTGGAAATACGAAACCTTCGGATGCCCCGTTTATCCAAAACGGGTCGAACCCGGTTGCAAACCGGGCTTCAAGTCCACTTGCTCTCCCAAATGGAGACATTTTGTCACCAACACAACGAAAGATAAGGACAGGATCCCGAAGAAGTGCTCTCAAGCCAAATGGGAAGACAAATCATTCTTCCCCTTCATCACCCATTGATACTCGAAAACCCGTGCAACATCATCAAGAACTCATCAAACAACCGCAACATGAATTGGTATCCAGTAGGATTCCACTACATGCACCACTTGGAATTCCTTACTGTCCAGTCAGTATAGGTGGGGCCCGCAAGGCCCCACCTACGAAATATGTTGGTGTCTCAGACACCAACAACTTGTTAGATACAATAACATTGAGGGCACGCATGGAGCCTATTGCCGCAACACAAGGCCTTCAAGGGGTTACTGTGGATTGCGCCAACGCGATCAATAACGGATTGGATGTTTATTTGAAGGGTTTGATACGGTCATGTTTTGAACTTAATGGGGCCCGTTTAGGTCATGAGCCCGTTAAGATAAGCCCAATATCTTTGTTAGACTTTAGGGTTGCCATGGAGATTAACCCTCGGCAGCTCGGTGAAGATTGGCCTTTATTGCTCGAGAAGATATGCACGCAGGCTTTTGAGGAATGATATAAATTTGTGATGTATGTTTTTTTTATATATCATTTGGTTGGTATGTTGTATGATTAGCATTGTGTGTAATTTAATCAATCGCTTAATTTAGAACAGTTTTGAAGGAATAATTTCTCCTCCGAGGTTTCTTGTATGTGTATTTTCATCGCTAATTGATTTAAATATCAAATTCAAACAACTTTGCTCTCCTTTTAAGTTATTGTTAATCGAACTTGTTATGGTGCGCGGAGTTTACACAAGAACATATTCGGCAATTGGCAACAACAAAAGTGATTCCATAATTCCATTAAAGAGTAAGACATCACATTGTTTATTCAAGTAATGTTTTTTTCTTATGTATGACTTGATTTGGATCTTGAAAAAAAAGGCATGATATATTTACAAAAAAACGACTTGGCTATTATGGAGTTTTGTCACTCGAATCACAATAGCCTATCGAGATACATATCAAAGTCATACTAATTATATCAACGTACTTGTACGTTTTTTTTTCTTGCATATTTTGTTTCAGGTAGTAAGGAGACACCGACTCTGATGTTGTTAATTAAGCATGGTCTATGGAGAAAGGTGAAGAGCAAGTATTGTTGTTTTGCCATATGAAGATCTTCCAGAAGGATCTAGGCTTGCGCTTTCGACGACTGTTTGATGTTAACTCTGATTCTGTTCTATGAAGCATCTCCCACATCACTTGTACATCCTCGTATCCACATGTTTGTATGTCATCGTGTAGCTTCAATAGCCCACCACCTGGTCAACACAAACGACATGTTTTTGTAAGTGGTCGTTCTTTTTCTATTTGATTTTCTCAAACTTTCAAAAATAAAATAATGATTAAAAAAAAAAATGATTAATTAATTGTGTGCGAGTGTTATGAAGGTAAGGTTAGGTGAGGGCATCGAAAATGGTTGTTAGTTAGTAGTGTAGTTACAAGTCAGCAAATCGATAGTATGAGTGCGAATCGTTAATGGGAATCTTTGTAGATATTTTATGGATAAATAAATGTTTTTCGGGATATTAGTTGTTATTAATAGCCACTAATTACATTCAACCTTATCATTTTAGGATATGATTTGAGAGTGATTCCTTTTATTTTTACAAAACTTTTTTCACATATAAAAAGATGTCACAGTTACATCACTATTTATCAGAATGTCAAAACGAATTGGATTCGAGGGTAAAACGATACGTTATTTAGCTTCTACTCCTTAATTTTTTGACGACACTACTTTTTTTTATTGTTAAATAAAACATATTTTATATGCAATATGATATGATGAGCACTCAAAAAGCTGTTTTCTTTAATTAGAATTGAATGATGGATAAATATATTAAAATAATTAAAACTCTCGGATGAAAACAAGAATAGTTTTCGAAGAATAATCTTGTATTCCGCTTCTGGAAAAAGGTGACCTTTGTCCAACCATATAATTCTTCAATTCTTTTTTTTTTTTTTTTCTACCAAAATATGCACCATGAAAATTAGCCAAAGACAAAAATACAAAAAAGAAATGAAAAAAATGCTCAATTTAATATAGTGATTTGATTTGTGATTTTGAATAAAAACTGCCTTGTCTTGTTATCAAAATAATGTAAGAATATTTGTTTAAGATGTTTTAGAATATATATAATATTTTTAGATATAGGCTTATTTTAATATTGCTTATCGACACGTTTAATCATTCATAAGATACAAAAAATACATTGCTTTAATCCAAATAATCAAATTATTCTATTAAACTATATTTTTAGACAAAAAGGAAATTACAAAATCTAATAAATAACTTTAATTTAAGAATGTATGCAAAATGCAGACCATCTCTCTTGCTTTTATTTGGGTAAAGTTTTAGAGCATTCAAGAACAATTTGGTTTTCATTTTCCAAAAAAGAAAAAAAGAAAATGGAAGGGAAAGGGAAATCCAATTTGAATATGATTATGAATTTATGATAGCAAAAGAAAGTAAGAAACCACCATTAAAGCACGTAGACACGCATTAAAGTTTTCATCGGAAAAGTGTATGCCTTCAACTCAATCACGAGCTTCTATTCTCCATCAATAACTATATTCAACTATTTCAATTTCAATATATTAAAATTAAATATCATTTCAAATCATAAATCTGGAATGAATTTATGTCACAACTAAAATCCAAAAGCACCGATGGGATTTTTCAGATCAGAATCGTGTTAAAATATTTGATAAAATTCAAGTTCAGATACTTGTCATGATCTTATAAAATCAATGAATTAAAGCCTTCAACATCGCTTAAATTTTCAAAATCAAAATTAATTTTACAAACATCGAAATTCATTGGGCAAAATTTTGGAGTTCAAATGCTTCTCACAGTCTCACAAATAGCTCGATCAATGAATTACATCATAATCATTTTATATATTACAGAGCAATAAACTCTTGAACGTCGTATTCAAAATCAAAATGAGTTTTCACTTCATAGACTCGATTTTCTTCCGTTCTGGTAAAAAGGAACTAATCGTAACCCTATGATTTTCTCGATCAGTAATTATCAAAATGAATATACAACCATAAATATATGAGCGTCGGTTAAATTTTCAAAACTCAAAATCTATTTCAATGAAATTGATTGTGTCTTCGAAATTAAATATTCTTCCATTTGACAAAATCTGAAGTTCAAACACTTATCGCAATCCAAAAAAATCACTCGATTAGTATATCCATTACAGAAATCAGATCGTACAAAAACACATAAACAGAGAGAGAGAGAGAGAGAGAGAGAGAGAGAGAGAGAGAGACTAACCATTGTTACGGGACTTTACACGCGCAGCAACGGCAATCCAAACACGTCTTACAGGAAAAACCATCTTCTGCAACCAACTCATAAGCTTCTGCTTCCGCTTCTTCTTCCGATTTCCTCTTCTGAGTTGACTGGGTACAAAACTCCTTAACCAGGCCAGTACTGGTCCTTTTCGATCGTCTTTCTCTTCCTCCTAATTTATAGGGAAGAGAAAGAGATAAAGAGGATAGAGAGATTGCTTGGAACTGTTGTCTCTTGTTTTGTAAGATAGCAGAGTCCTCAGTCTCACACACACAGACGTATATATATTAATATATACACAGAGAGAGATGAGTATCGGTGAAGGGAAGCATATATAGAAGAGAGAAGTTAACTATGGTTGAAGGGGGAACTAACGTACAACTGGTAATGCACAAGATACAAGTAAATATGCGTGACGAGCATTTGGTGGCTGATTTTACTTTCCACTGTTGGCAGTTAACGGAGACTTTAATTTGTATTCTCGCACCGTCACGTAACAAAATTCAAAACTTTTAATAAAGATATTTCAACTTTACTTTAATAAAATTCACTCAATTTGATTCATATAAATATAATATAATGACATATTTTACATCAATTTTTGTGTATAAAATAGTTACACAGCTTAATTTTATTTATTTATTTTATAAAACTGTTACAAAAAATAGGATTTGGAAACAATGTAAGATTTATGTGAAGTTGTAGGTTTATTTCCAAAAAAAAAAAATAGTAGACCGTGTTATATCAATATAATACACACTACTACCACAAACACGTTGTGTTGAACATTAAAATCATTTTATATACAAATGTACAAGATCATAATTTACATCTCTATTAGACATTTGTGTTTATTTCAATTACCTAAAATGGCCAATGAAATTAAAATTACCAAAAAGAAAAAGCAGCAAGTTCATTATATCTAATTTGATTAGCAAATTTTGATACAATGGAATTATTAAAATGGATGAATCATTATCGAATACTTGATCATGCTCGTCGTCATCAAAAAATAAAATAAAAAATATTTTAATTTAATAAAATATACCATAAATATTTCAACAAAAGACGATGACTATTTTTGAAGTTAAAGATGGGTCGGCGGGACACTTCTTTTTTTGTTCACTTCTTTTATAAGCTGTGTTTTGAGGGCCAACGACTCAAAATAGCTAAACTTCTGATTTGAAAAGAAAAAAAAACTCATGTTTATTTTGAGATAAATTTAAAAAAAAAAAAAAAAAATCAATAACATATTTATACGACAGAAGTTAATTGCATTATAACCTAATACAACGTTTATTTTAAAAAACATATGACGAAAAAAATAAACCTACCACTAATAGTATACAGTAATACTAACCAATAAACGCATGAATTTAAATTAAACAACAATATTACCCTTTTTTTTTTTATATATATAAATAGGTTATAAAAAATATAATATCGTTAGCAGTCTAGTGTATAATAAGGAAAATAAATTAAAACTAAAGCTATGTAATAAATTTGGCTAGAGAGAAAAGTTTTTAAGATAAATTTATAGAATAAAACCATTTTTGTTTTAAGTTTTTATTTGGTTAGTGATGTTTGAAAATAATTAAAAAAAAAAAACTATAGAAAATATCATTTATAGCTGTATTTACCTACAAATATGTTATGACCAACAATTAATAAAAGCAAATGTGCCTATTATCTAAAAATGAACTATTTTTCAACATCATTTTTAAGTTACGCTAAAAAAAAAAGTTAAAAACTAGTACCAAGTGAGTTGTCGTTTAACTTTTATCTTTTTTGGTTAAATGTATATAATCTGATCATATTTAGGTTAATTTTTAATTGAACTATTGTATTTGTATAAACTTAACAATATATCTTAATTTCAACTTAAAGGTAAAACCATAACAATGATTTCACATTCGAATAGTGATAGTAATATATAAAGTTAAAATACAAGAAATCACTCTTAAAGAAAAACAAAATTATAATAATTTTGTTGTTGCATAAAAGTATTCTGCAAATAAATCTGCTTACATTAATTTACCAAAAAAAAGAAGGAAATTTTTGAGGGGTTTATAAGTTATAATAATAATTACTGGGGAAACGTGACACGTTTACAAATGGAGGAGGGCCGGTCATATTTTGTGCATTATTTGGATCTTACCTTTTATTTTCCCGGGCCCTTTGCTTTTTTCTACCGTCATTGACTTT